AAAGGACCATGCACAACCGGGTCAAGTACTTACCAAATATAGTTACGGGCTTAGACACTAATCCAACAAAACATCCATCAAGATCCCATCTTTTATGCTTCTAAATGACCAAGGGACCTCAGATATGCCATCCTCATCTTATGGAGTTGCTTAACTCATCAAGAGAGGTCCAAAACCAACCAAATAGGCAAAACTAGAAAACCCTAGCTAGATCTAAGGATTTAGATGGAAAGGTGCAAGCTTTTTACCTCCAGAAGCTTTGTAAGATGAGTTTGATGCAGGATCTTGAAGCACCTATACGATCTAAGCTTGCTTGACCACTTCTTCTTCTTGCAATGAACACAAAAAGGTCACAAATGCACTCTTTTAAGCTCAAGAATGATCTCACAAGGTTCTCTGGGGTACAAGGACACTCTAAGGCTATGGAGGCTCTCTGGGGTTAAGTCCAAGGGACTTAAGATCGTTTAAATAGGCCTCATGTCCGAAGATTAGGGTTTTGGCTCTCTGACGCATACGCCCAGCGTACCCTTACGTACGCCCAGCGTACGTGAGGCTTCTCCGCGATCGATCATGCAGAGTACGCTAAGCGTACACCTAGGTACGCCCAGCATACTCGAGGGGCCAAATATTGTCATAAATGAAATCTTGAGGGTTTCCAAGACATACCAGATCAAGGTGTTACATGAACGAATTTTTTAGGTTTTTCTCACGACATTTTATGTGGGACAATCATTAATGAGTTGTTTGGGGCTTTTGATGCTTATGTCCATCATGATCTCAACTACATGGTAGCTTAGGTCATGTGTTCTGAACGTGATAACTTCTTCATACGATCTCGAATTTTAACGATCTTTATATTCATGCGTTCGTAGTTTAGTTTACCACAACTTTCGTTTAGATTACTCCCATTAAAAGTAATATATTTTTACTTACGATCTTTATATCCATACGTTTTTTATGAATGCATGTATGGATGTTTTTTTTTATAAAATCGTAAGTAAAAATATATTACATTTTAACAGGGGTAATCTTAGCGAAAGTTGTAGTAGACTCTAAAAACGAACACGTGGATATAAAGATCGTTATAATTTGATATCGTATGAAGAAGTTACGACGTTCAGAACATGAGACCTAAGCCAAACGACAAGACCTACGCAACCAAGCGGTCGAGATCGCGATGGACATAAACATTAACAGTCCCAAACACCTCATCAACGATTGTCCCACATAAGATGTCGTGAGAAAAACCTAAAGAAATCATTCATAAATACTGAATAAGTACAAAAACAAAAAAGACTTATTTTAAAACAAAAAAAATCTTAAGGACTAAATGTGTACAAAAATATTAATGACTAAATGTGTACAAAATGAGAAATAGATTACCCAATTAAGTCATTTTTCCCGGTAAACTTGAAGTAATCGGTCATAAGGACTGAATGTGTATAGTTTAAGAAGTTGAAGGGGTAAATGTAAACGAAAAAAAAGTCAGTGACCAAATATATACAAATTAAAAAATATATTACCCTTTTAAGTCATTATCCCATCATTTAAATGCTTAAATGCAAAAGAAAAGAGAATGACCAAATGCAAAATTTTAACAAACACAAGGAGGATTTCAATAATTTTTTTTTTCTTATTATAATTTGAAAAGAGAATGACCAAATGAAAAATTTCAACAAACACAAGGAGGATTTCAATAATTTTTTTTTTCTTATTATAATTTGGTGAGGCATTTGAAACCTCTTAGAAAGTTCGTTGATGTGTACTTTATATCATTCTTATCCCAAAGGGAATATTGAGATCGGATTGTCTGCAGGTTCACATCCGATCCCTAGTTTCTTTGCAATTATTGCGTAAAATTCCTCATAATAAAGATTCAATATATGTAAGATTTATCAAGAAAACCTTCAATGGCGTCTTCCGCCTCATCATCATCCGTTCAGAAGATCTTTAAGTATCATGTGTTCTTAAGCTTTAGTGGTGAAGACACGCGTAAGACGTTTGTTGATCATCTTTACGCTTCTCTTACACGACAAGGTATTCACACCTTCAAGGATAGCGAGGAACTCGAGAAAGGAAAAAAGGTCGATGAGCTCTTTAAAGCCATCGAAGAGTCAAAGCTCTTTATCATTGTTTTCTCCAAAAACTATGCATCTTCGTCTTGGTGCTTGAAGGAGGTTGCGAAGATCATGGAGTGCCAGGATTCGATCGAACAGATAGCTTACCCACTCTTTTATGATGTGGAGCCCACAGACGTACGCGGACAAAGTGGGCCAGTTGGAGCAGCCTTCGCCAAACATAACACCAGCGAACAGGCTGGGAAATGGAAAGAGGCTCTGAAAGAAGCAGGCAATCTGGTAGGATGGGATCTGAAAGAGATTGCTAATGGGTAATTCCTTTATCATATCTCTGCATTACTAGTCTTTCATTTGGGTATTTCTAACATAGGTTCATCTTGGCATGTATGTTGTATTGTCAAATTCTAATTTAAAGCTGAGTCAGATAGATGAAACATGAAATATGCGTATGCTGTTAGTATGTGAATTTGGTTGTTTGTAGACCTGAAACTCATTGGTTATGTGGGCTGTTGAGCAAGCTACTTGAATCTTCTTTAATCTACAGGCATGAAGCTGAAGCCATCGATCAAATTGTTGGAGAAGTTTCACTCAAGTTACGTGCCATACGTTTGAGCAATGATGAAAATCTAATAGGCATGGAATCCCGAATGCGAGATCTGGAGTCGTCTTTAGAGATTGGCTTGAACAATGATGTCATCATGATCGGGATAAAGGGGATGGGGGGCATTGGAAAGACAACTTTGGCCAAAGCTATTTTTGATAAAGTATCTTTCCAATTTGAAGGTATAAGCTTTGTTGAGAACGTGAGGGAAGCTTCAAAAACACCACGGGGTTTACTGTCATTGCAACAACAAGTCCTTTCAGATGTATTAAAAGATGGAAACAAGCATAATTCTCATGATGGAAAATTTATGATGGAAACAAGGCTGCGCTTTAAAAAAGTGCTTCTTGTTCTAGACGATGTGGATCGTAAAGAGCAGCTTGAGGAGTTAGCTGGTGCTTTGAATTGGTTTAAGGACGGAAGTAGAATTATCATTACAACAAGAGACAAGCAAGTGCTGAAAGCACACTCAGTGAATAGGATTTATGATGTCAACTTATTGTCAAAGGAGGAAGCAATTAGCCTCTTCAATAGGTATGCATTTGGGAGATATGCTCCAATGCAAAGGTATGAAGAGCTGTCACTAAAAGTTGTACATTATGCTGCTGGTCTTCCTTTAACTATCAAAGTTTTGGGTTCTTCTCTGCGTGGTAAAGAAGAGCTTGAATGGGTAGATGCACTAAAAAGGCTAGAAAAGATTCCGTGTCAAGAAACTCTAAAAAAATTGGAAATAAGCTATACCAGCCTAGAGGATGATCACAAGGAAATATTTCTAGATGTTGCATGTTTCATGAAGGGGTTGCAGAAAGAGGATGCAATTAGAATACTTGAAAGCTGTGGATTACATGCTATATATGGTTTATCAGTTCTTGAACAAAAATCCCTCATAACTATTTCAAATCAGCGTTTGGCTATGCATGATAGCATAGAAGAATTGGGCAGGAATTTAGTTCAACGAACTCACCCCCGCAAGCCCAACAAACACAGCCGACTGTGGGATCGCGAGGAAATTGAAGTCTTATTATATGAGGATATGGTAAGTATCAAATTTACTTGCAACATGGAAAAAACGAACACATTTTCATTAGTTATAACACTGGTTTCATTGTGACGACTTAATTTTGGATTACAGGGTACTAAAGCAACAACATGCATACGACTCGAGCAGGTGGAACTGCGTCCTGAAATCGTTATGAAAGGCCTTCGAAACCTGAAGAAACTTAGAGTTCTTCTGGTTTCTGAGAGAGAAAATGAGTGTTCTCCTAGTGATTGGAAGTTTGATCAAGCTAAACAATACTTTTCAAATGCATTACAGTTTCTAAGTTGGGAGGGTTACCCTCTTCGGTCTTTACCCCAAACATTTAGAGCAAATAATCTTGTTGGACTTGAATTGCCTAGAAGCAGGATCACAAACCTTTGGGAAAGCGGAGATGAAAAGGTACAATGGTTACTTTACATCTATTTGTTAGTACATACAGCAATAGTCATCTTGCATTTCTTCTTTTTGCATATGATAGGTACTTAAGAAGCTGAGGTTCCTCGACCTTAGTTATTCAAAATTGAGGACCCTAGACCTTGGGCTGACTTGTAATCTCGAGAGGTTAGATCTTAAAGGATGTCATGATTTGAAAGAACTTCATGTGCCCGATGGATGTCTAGGAAAGCTCGTCTATTTAAACTTAATTGGTTGTTCAAAGTTTAAAAAATCTTTTTTGATTGTGAAAGGGTTGGAATCGCTTAAGCTTCTTTCTTTATCTAAGTTAGAGCTGACTGTGGAGCTACATGAATCCCAAAGGTACTCCCACGACAATTTGCCAAAGCTTCGGTTTACATGTATCTATTCTGAAGAAGATCCCTTACCGATCGGAAATGGTCAGAAGTCTGTTTATCTTGATCTTCAGCCTCGCAAAAAACTTGAGTGTCTTTCTGGAAGCATTTGTGGTTTACAACACCTAAGGCACCTTACATTGAAGGGCTGTATTCCAGAGGTACCCAATGACCTTGACCGGTTAGAATACTTAGCGAAGCTCAATTTGTTGTCCACAGACATTAAATGTCTTCCAGATAACATATGTTTATTGAAACATCTGAGATCTTTCAAACTTGAATCTTGTCTGCTTCTTGAAGAGTTACCCAAGGATCTTGGCCAATTAGAATGTTTGGAGAAGCTAAGTTTGTTGTCTACAGGCATTAGACGTCTTCCAGATAGCATATGTATGTTGAAATGTTTGAGATCTCTCAAAGTTAAATCTTGTTTGCTTCTTGAGGAGGTGCCCGAGGCGCTTGGCCAATTAGTATGCTTAGAGAAGCTAAACTTGTTTTCTTCACGTATTAGGAGTCTTCCAGGTAGCATTTGTATGCTGAAACATCTGAAATCTCTAGATCTTGAATCTTGTGGACTCCTTGAGAAGTTACCCGAGGATCTTGGGCAATTAGAATGTTTAGAGAAGCTGATCCTAAAAAAGTGTGCGTCATTAGAAGATATTCCAAATAGCATCTGTAAGATGAAACGTTTGAGATGTTTCCATCTCCCCTTTTGTAATCAGGTGGAGAAATCACTGAGGAACTTGGAAGTTTAGAGTTTTTAAAAGACTTGCATATAAAGTGTACAGGAATAAGCTGAAAGTGAAACCTTCTGCCAATACACAAGCTGCGAGTAACACACGGGTTCCAAGTTTGGACAAAATTAAGGAGATCACTCACACAGAACCATCTTAAGAGGCATTTATAATAAATTGTCTTGTATTAAAGACCGTTGGCCATTCATGGATCAGTTTGAAGTTTTAAAGATTAGAGCAGTCCATTTCTACTCTTTATTTATTTATTTATTTATTTATTTTGCTTCACATTTTGCAATTATAATCATTTTTTATTGAAATTTAAGCCTATGGTAGCTCAATCGCCATTTGTGTTAACATAAGGATTCAAGTTGAAACAGAGACATCCAAAATTGAGAGTTCAATGAGAGGAGTTTTTGACGGTAATAGGGTAGTTGAAAAAAATATTTACCATTTTAGTGTACTTTCAATAATATTTACTAAAATGGTATTTTTCTCATTTTTTTTTACTTTTTAGTTTTCTTTTCAGTTTTTTTATTTTAAATATCTTTTTTTCCCTTTTATTCTACTTTTTATTGTTTTTTTATATATATATTTTTTAAATGACAGCTTTTATTTTAGTTTTTTTAGCTATTTTTACTGTTTTTCTAAATAACAGTTTTCTTAATTTTTTTTTTCTGTTTTTTTAAATATCCGTTTTTCTTATACAACCTTTACATCATCAAATTTTTGCCATCAAAAATTAAAAATACGATATATTTTAAGGTGCAAAAACTCCAACATTCACGTACAATATTTTTAAGCTAAAAAAAAAACAAAGAAAACCTCAACATTGTTTGTTACAAAAAAAAAAAAA